TGACCACACAAAAAGCTGAATTCAGAACACATCTGAACCGCGGTCTATGTCCCAAACAACCCCTCTTTGAAGCGTTTGCCAGTGCAGACACGCGCGAGAGACGCCATTGTCAACGAAATTTTTAAAAGAAAACGGACGAATGTTTGAAAGAAAACGGAGGGAACGAACTGACCCGAACGCACCTCGACTCTCAATGGCGGCAGGTTAGAGCAGTGCCCTAGTTCAAGTCACCTTCTTTCTCATTAATATCATTAGTTTTCTTTCTCATTTTTTGCTTCGTTGGTTTTGGTGCGGTCGTGATCATTTTCTTTGGCTTCGTTTCGTTTCCTAGAAATAGGAACAAGATGAAAAATTAAATGAAAAGCAGTAACGAGAAAACCAAAGCAAAACAACAGTGATGTGAAATACAAGCATTTTTCTTAATGTCACAATAATACAAGGGTTTAGAAAGTATAAGTGAAAAGGCGAGAAAAAAAATAACGAAAAAGTTTGAAAAGACGTCAAAATCCCAATTATAGTGTATCACAGAAACCCACATGCTAAACGAATGAATCTTAGGGATACTTCACTATTACGCATGTAGTGAAGATGGGGTGTGTGTGTGTATCAAACGTCTACACTCAGCCATTCCTCTCCAGACGCCTCGTGGATGTCAACCAGGAAGACTCCGAGAAGGTAGAGGAGAAATTCTGTATGCATTTGGCCTCCTTGCAGAACCCAGAAGTAGTACTAAGATCGGAGTTTACGAGTATAGACTGCTATATAGTCTAAAACCCTATAAAAGAAGAAAATCAGAGACGGATTTATAGAGGCATAAGGAGCAATAGCCCCGGTTACTATGCCTGAAGGCTACAGGCTAAGGACATACTTTATAAAAGAAATTAATAATTAAGAAACTTGTTTTGTTTGTAAAAAAAAATATCAACAGTATTTGTATGTGAGATACCAGAAAATATAAAGGCAGGGTGCCCCACTATATTTCAAGGCGGTGCTCCTTCCCACTTTGAACAACCTGATAAATTGCCAACTAAAATATTGCGGTTTGTCATTCATTTTAGCTCATCTATTTATCTGCCACGTCATATAATCTTCATGTTCAAGGGCTCCCAAGGTCCAGATCCGGCCCTAATTACAATAAAGAGTTGGGGAGAGACAAGAGTGTAATACTGATGGATTTCAGCAAAAGTGAAGAGCTGCTTGACGTGCAGAAGAAGAGGAAATGGATAATGATGTTATTTTATGTCTGAGATTTGGTCTTTGAAATAGATAGATTGAGGGAAGATGGCGTTACTGGAATCATCAACAATCTTAAACAAAAACAAGTAGAACAAAGATAAGATATTATGATCGAAGTCCATAAATCAAAGAAACGGAAGTGTTGCCATTTTCAACCAGGAGAATCAAAACACCTGTTATCAAGGAATCAAGGAATCACGGAGAGGAAATATGGAAATGAACGCAAAGGACTTGCCGCTGCTTTTTCCTTTCAAAATCATTGTACGTTGGTATGCATATATATATATATATATATATATATATATATATATATATATATATATATACATATATATATATATATATATATATATATATATATATATATATATATATGTGTGTGTGTGTGTGTGTGTGTATGTGTGTGTGTGTGTGTGTGTGTGTGTGTGTGTGTGTGTGTGTGTGTGTGTGTGTGTATTTTCTTTTTCTTTTTCTTTTTTCTTTTTTTCTTTCTTTCTTTCTTTTTTATAGGTATGTATGTACATATACGTAAGTGTGAGTGTATGTGTATACACTATAACATAGATTATTGTTTTTAATCATTGTTGTATTTGCCAATACAAAAGGAAACTCGCTAAAAAGAAAGTCATCGTTTTAATAAAAAAACATTTATTTCATGATAACGGTTTGTGTTCCCCAAACACTAACACTGTTATGCCTCATCTCTTGACAATGGCATTGACAATGTTTAGCGCCAAGCTAAACCTGACATTGAATATCAAGTATCACTTACAAAGTAAGCGACACGTGACATCCACAGGCATAGCATGAAAATACAAATCTTGAGCAACAGATAGTGACAAAATATCTGTTCAGTTGCACTCGCGTCATGCACCCTTTACCCCTCCTTCTGGGTATGTTCTTGTGAGTGTTTATGGCATTCGGATAATACTTTGCATGTATTGCTTCAGCATGCCTGTGGACAAGAAGTGTAGTGTGTGTCCCAGCATGTGGATTGTGGTTTCAATTTCATAATTTCATAATTGGGCTTGGATTTATGACTTACTTGTAGAGAGATAGATAGTGATAGATAAACAGATAGATAAATGTATGTTAGGGTGCAAGTGTTCGTGTTTTGTTGTTTTTTTTTTTCTATAGTTTTATTGTTTACATCAACCCCATATGGTGTAATCAATGTCCCGCACCAAAAATAGTAAAAATAATCCATTAGTCTCAGGCGACGTTCATTTGTTTCCTCAACACGTTTTAAGTTTTCCCTTGTTGGCTAGTTGACGACGACCTTCGGGAGAGCGAAGTGGTCGTTCCCGATCGTGTTTGCGAAAGGCCCGTGGCCCTCCGCCGGCTTGTCTTCGATCGAGGACACGCTCTGGAAAAGTAAGGCTGGCTGTCAGTCGTGGGGCCATGAATAGATTAGGTGTATATAGATACATACAGTACACACACACACACACACACACACACACACACACACACACACACACAAGAACACACACACAAACAAACACATACACACACACACACACACACACACACACACACACACACACACACACACACACACACACACACACACACACACACACACACACACACATATATACGTCTGTAAAATATACACCCAAACACATATTGAATTCCATCATTTTATCCTGCGGAAGATATGCCGAAGACACAGTGAATTAGAAAAACGGTATATCACATAACATAATAAGATTAGATATATTAACCAACTAGCATAAGACACGTCTGTTCAACCATAATTTTCGCTTCGTTAATAATCGTTGAATATGTATTAAAGTAAACCGTTTTTGAATCGTTCGTTATCACACATTTTTTCTCTTTTTTTACGTCCATCTCTCTCTCTCTGTCTATCTGTTTGTCTGCTATTTTGCTAATGTTCCTTTTCTCCATCCCAATTCCTTTTTTTTTCTCCCTCTCTCTCCATCTCCCACTATCTCCCTCGTTTTGTCCATTCTCTACTTCTCCCCGTCTTTCCCTGCCTCCCTCTCTCCATCTCCCTTCCTCTCTGTCTCTCTTTCTCTTACTCTCTCTCTCTCTCTCTCTCTCTCTCTCTCTCTCTCTCTCTCTCTCTCTCTCTCTCTCTCTCTCTCTCTCTCTCTCTCTCTCTCTCCTCCGCCCACCCCCTCCCTCTCTTTCCCCCTTTCCCCCATCCCCCACCACCTCATTACCCCCTCCCTTTCTCCCCCCCACCTTTCCCCCTTCTCCTACAACCCCCTCACTCCCTTCCCCACCACCCCCTCTCCCTCCCCGCCCCCTCTCTTACCTCCATATACCGACGGTACCTCTCGAGCGTCCCCGTCAGAGAGAAGGGACAGGCCTGGTATCTGGAGGCACAGTCGCTCCCGTCTCTCCCGGCGTCCTCTGCCTCGATGTAGTCATGCAGGAAGTCATTCATTCCACGTTTCGGCCTGCATGGGAGTGGGTGTGTGCGGTGAGCATTGCATGACGGAGGAGGGGGGGGGATGTAGAGAAAGGTGGGGGTAGTTTTGAAGTTGTTGTGAAATTTTGGTGCTTTTGTATTATTTTTTCTTCTGATATCGTTATTGTTGTTATTGTTGTTATCGTTTATCGTCTTTTAGAAAGGTGAGATAGGATAATGAGACGTTTAACAGTGAATAGATATGAGATCAAACTGGAAAAAAAATCATTTGAAGAAATGTTAATTCAAGATAGTGGTTAAGATGCTAATATTGATATAGGTATTGACAACATCAACAACAATGATAATGATAATAGTAATAAGCGTGATAATAATAATAAAAGAGATGACGATGATGATAATGTTAATGATAATAGGAATAATTATAATAATTATATTATTAATGACAATGATATTATTAATATATTATATTAATGATGTTATTAATAATGATGATCAATAATGAACAAACAAATTTTAAAAATAAGAATTCAGTAATACAGCTTGCCAAAAAATACATGATAATAGCAATAAATTAATAAATAAGTCAAGCACAAACAGCAACAGAGCTAAAGGTGCTAGCAACACCAACAACCGCGAAGCCAAACCCACGTGAACAGGAGAGTGAGCAGCTCCCCGACCACGGTGTACCTCCCGATGGCGTTCCCCTGCAGCTCGCAGATGAGCCGCAGGAGACACGACCGCCCATCCACTCCCAGGCTGGCCAGCGAGTCCTCGATGGAGTGGAAGATGTTGAGCTGGTCCTCGCCGAGGCTTCGGGAACCGCCGCTGGGGGGGAGGGAAGAGAGAGAGGGTTGAGGGAGGGATGGAGGGTGGGAGATAGGAGGGGAGGGAGAGAGAAAGAGATGGGGTGGAGGGAAGGATGGGGAGGGAGGGAGAGAGAGAGAGAGGAGGGGGGGAGGGAGGGGGGGAGATAGAGATAGGTGGGAGAGGGAGGAAGAGAGAGAGAGAGAGAGAGAGAGAGGTGGTGGAGGGAAGGAGGGGGAGGGAGGAAGAGAGAGAGAGAGGGGAAGGAGGGAGGGAGAGAAAGAGAGAGGAGAGGAGGGGAGGGAGGGAGAGAGAGAGAGAGAGAGGTGGGGAAGGAGGGAGGGAGGGAGGGATGAAGGGAGAGAGAGAGAGAGAAACAAATAGACACACGAGAGTTGCATGAGAAAAAATATGAAGGTTCTGCATATATGATTTCTCTTTGAAAAAAAAAATCATATGAATCAAGGTTTCACGAATGTTTATATAGGGAGTTCCAGGTATTTGTTTCTTTTCTTGTCATATATTTTAAAATTTCTAATCCTCTGTTCTTTCTCTA